ATCACATTTTCACATTAAGTTCGCACTGCGTTCATTTTCGAACTCCCTTCGGCACGATACATCCTCGAAGTCACCTGTCACTGATTCGTATTTATGCGGGTGCATTCATGTGAAGAGCACGACTCGATAAAGTTCTTTGCTCCATTTTGAAAATCTTCAAATCCTCATCAGCTGATTAATTGCTGATCTTGTTGAAGAACTGTGATCAAAATCATTGATCACATGCGGATTTGAACTCAGACATTCAATGGTAGACATTTTTTAAATGATTGGTCAAAATTACAGATCGGAGACGATGAAATAAGAGCGCATCGCTGTTTTCTGGCAAAGCACAGCGATGTTTTTCGCACGATGTTCTCACAACCGTCGATGATTGAAGCCGAAAAAGGAATCATTGAGATCATGGATTCTGATTACATTTCGGTCAGCATAAAAATACTCTCAAGCCAGAATTTCACCACTCATCTTGCGCCTTCAAAGCACATTTTTAGGAGAAACTGACGGAGATACTCATTGCGATGAAGGTTTTCGACGATTGAAGAAGTATTGAATGCTGTGAGAATGTTTATTTTAAAGGTCGGTATTATCAAATGATAAGAGAGCTTGTTGCAGGTGCGAGCAATGCTAGAGTATATGTATTGCGGATCAACAGTGAAAATCGAGAATAATGTCGAAAGTGTTTTGGCACTTTCTGAGAAATACGCCATAAAACCGTTGAAGGAATTCTGCGGTAACTATTTGGCATCCAAGATAAACACAAATAACCTCGGTGAAACCGCAGCAATTGCTGAGATGTACTCATCCATTCCACTCATCAAGGTCATCCGATTATTTTTCATTGTTAATTCACTGAGTGTGAGATCTATTATTGATAACCACATCAGTGCAATCCTTTGATGAAATCGCCTAAAAATTCAACATTTAAATGAATTTATTCAGTTGTTTTACTTCTTTCATCCTCGTTTTAAAACTCCATTTTTAGCTATATCGAAAGCGTCCAAAAGGAGTACGTTTTGAAAGTTTCCTAACGTTGTCTCACGTATCATCATGCAGTTTCACAATTGCAATTTCACAATTTGCCAATTTCTCTTTTACATTCGCATAATAATTTTTCAATTTTCTTTTAGAGGTGTGCTCGTTATCTGAGCGAGAATCGTATATCGGTACTGCGTTCCAAAGGTTGGGAAGAGCTGAAGAAGCACAATCCTGAACTGGCTATCCGCCTTCTTGAACACTCAATGTAGTCCAATGAATTTGATCAGCACAACAACGAATTGATCGCTCATTACCAGTGATTTATCATGATGCATCGTTCAAAATCTATTATCTATATCTGCGCAATATCGCATCCATAAAGGATTTCTCCACATTGCCATATGAAAAACTCTACTGCACAACCATTCATCAAGATCACAAAATGCCGTATTCAAGGCTTGCTTGTATTGTTCCATCTCCACATTTAGTTGAATAAAGACAACAGACTTCAACTGCTTTAACCTTCCATAGTGGTGTCATCTATTGATACAATGTATAAGAATCAGCGCCTCTACGCTAGTTGAGATAGCTTCAGGAAAATATATCTCCTCAAGTAAGCAGAATTCCTCAGGAAAATTTATGTTTTTCTAAATCTATAGGTTCTGAGCGGACGAACGGTGTCATGAAATTGATATGTTACTGAGCAAACCTGAGGGTATGGTAGGCTTCAATATGGTGATGCCTATAGCTTTGTGAGAATAGCTTTATCTCCTCAAGTAAGCAGAATTGCTTAGCAATATATGTGTTTTTCTGAATCTAGAGGTTCTGAGGAATCGAATT